CCATACCATTACCAGGCACAATCATTTCTGATAAATTTTTTACTTTAACATTTGCCCTTTAGTGAAGTATAACAATGGCATTTCACATCAACTGGAAGTAATGGTCAAAGTATTTCCTAGCTCCATTATTCTATACTCTCTTCCAATTTTAACAAATTCGTTACATAACGTTCGCTGGGCTTGGGATGGTTAATTTTCATCTCCGGAAAAGGATTCAACTGTTTTTCCTACTTGGTGCCACCCCTAATGTAGGAGTAGGATGTTGATTTCAAAATGATTCAGGAGTAATAGATACTGTAGTTCTTGAATAAATACATATTTGAAACCTGATTTTATTGGTCAAATTTAGTAGATGACCTAATAATTTTATCCCATCTAACTTTTTTACTTCTTAACCCATTATTATATAATCATGATTTTATAGGTTATTAATACCAAGATAATATTACTCACCCATGGATAACCCAGTGGTAATGGCGAATCAAGAGAGTTGTGTATAACTTTAACCTACAGTTTAAGTTTCGATTCCCTGTTAGGTGCAAAAGTAGTACATTTGCCCATGATTTACTTATGGCTATTTTTTCAATAAGAAATATATTGATGGTTGAATAGCAGTAACAGCAAACCAAATGGATTATGCATAGTTTTAATCTACAGTTTCAAGTTCGATTCCCCGTTGACCATAAAAATAATACATTTGTTTATGATTTACCTGAGTATTTTTTAATAAGAAAATTGTTGAGGGATACACCAAAGTGGCGTGGGTTGTTGCTCCAACCCAGCGCTAATCGCCACACCAAAATGGCGTGGCATTGTAGTGCCATGAATTTTTTTTCTTTTTTTTTTTAATTTTGTTAAGTTAATTTGAGTATTAAATTTTACACCAAAAATTACACCAAATTTGATTATTTGTATTTAATTTAATTTGATTATTATTTATAATAATAAATTCATAATAATGATATAATTCAAAAAATGATGAAAAATTATTATTTAGCTGATGGTATATACCCAAAATGGTCTACTCTCGTACAAATTATTCACGATCCACGTGGTCCCAAAAAAAAATTATTTGCAATGAAACAAGAAGGATGTAGAAAAGATGTGGAACGTGCGTTTGGAGTTCTCCAATCGCGATTTGCAATTGTGGCAGGACTGACACGTTTTTTGGATAAAAATGTATTACATGATATAATGACTGCATATATCATTATGCACAACATGATAATCGAGGATGATCGTAATGTTGATGCATCGATTGAGAATTAGATAGAAACACCAACTCCAGAAGTTGAAGTTGTCATAGATAAAAATGTCCGATTTCGAAATTTTCTTACTCGGCATAAACAAATCAAAGATACAGAGGCTCATCATGCTCTTCAAAGTGCATTAATTGATCATTTGTGGGAAGAACATACTAATTCGGAAAATTAAATTACTATCAATACGGAATTTTACCTTTGTGTTGTTTTTTTTTTTTTTTGATATCATAATGTTTTTCTATATTAAATGTAATGTTTATTTGATTAAATAAATACTTAATTTTATTAAATTAGTATAATTTTTAAAATAATTATTATTTAATAAAAATATCATTCCCAATATTTAATTAATATATACAAAAATAATGAGTGAAATAGATTAATTGTTGATTATTACAATAAAAGAAAAAGAAAAAAAATATTCTAAAGAATATTATTTTTGATGTAATATTTGATGTAGTGGGTTGGAGATGGAATAGTATTTTACACCAAAACTTGTACTAATGTGATGCAATGATTGAAGATGGTCTAATGGTTGAATAAATGTTGATATACTCTGTTACCAGTATCACCCTAATCCTTCATATTCTTTAATTTATAGAAACTTTTTCGACAAATATGATAAAAAAATCAGACCCAACATTTTGACGGTTCATCTAGCCTTTAAAATATGAGATAACTATACCTGGTTTATCCTGTAGTAAACTCTTGGCAGCTTCTTCTGCTCTTTAACTTAAGGTCAACATTTTCTGTTTTATTGACATAATCATAAATAGTGTTAATGAATAGAATGGGTTCATAACTTCTATCATGAGGAAACTTCCTTTATCAATATCTGTCAAATTATATTTTAGTAATATATGTTGATAAAATACGTATAAAGAAGAAGAGAATCGTTTTTAAAAAACCAGTGGCGTGGGAAATTTCAGAAAAGTTCGTACTCTTTGTTTCTCACAGTGTCTTTACTCCCTTCCCGTACAATCTTCGGTTTGATTTACCAAGAAAAATGCTATCCTTACAAAGACAATACAAAGAGAGTTACAAAGTGACATCACTAAAAGGAAAAACAAAGAAAAAAACGGAAAAAGAGGGAGAGAAGGAGAAATCATGAAATGAAGGGTGGAATTTGTCTTGTATGTCTCTTTGTTTTTGTCTTGTAAGAGTAGTATTGCTCATTCCAAATCCTTCAGAATAAAAATCCATGCAAAGCCAGAGTCCTAGATTCAAACTTCATGTCCAACAAATCTATTGTCCCTCCAATTATCACACAACCCAATTTACGTATCTTTGATGGTAATTAGTCAGTACTATAAATAGGTAAGATTTATAACAAGTAAATATCATGTTAAAATGTAAAAAAAAAAAAGTTTTAAATTTGATTAAGTATACTATTTCCTCTCCAATTATTGCAATTTTATTTATATTACTTGTTTTCAGAAACAAAAATATGAGAATAATGCGTGGTTAGCTGAGTTTTGAAATAGGAGAGAGCCAAACCAACAAGGTTTTTCAAATTCAAAATTGAAAATAAAAAAAAACTAGAAATAGCGGATTTGTGGATAAATTGGGCTTCAGAGGAGTCCAATTGCAACATAACACGTATACAAACGAGTCGGGCGGCTGAAAATGATGGCCTTGCCGGCTCTCTCCTTGTCCTGTTTAAACCGGGTAAAAACCGTCGTGGTTGAGAATCTGAGATACGTATTCAACTTCTCTATAACACTACTATTTATCTTTCTTGTTTGCACTACTATTTATTGACCAAAATAGCCCTACTTTCAACTATTATTACAGAATAATTCAGTGAGGCATATCTATCCACTGTGTATGAAAACTGACTTTTTTTTTTTTTTTTTTTTTTTCAAAACAATACAGAATAAATCATTTCAGTTGTTCTACTTGGGGACAAAACCTGTCCTAATGTCTTTGGTTTGTGTATCACTATACTTTGCTTTGCTTCGAAGGCACGTGGTGTCGCGCCCCCACTTTGTCCATTATTTCAAGGCTAATTTGGTACTTCAATATAACTTGTAGTATGCGTTTGGTTTAATATTTTTATCCCTATTCTGGATCCTATTTTTCAAATCGCGTTTGGTACAATATTCTCAAAATATTACCCTATTTTTTTAATTACATTTTAACCCCATAAGGTTATAATTTCACTAAAAACCCCTGAAAAAAAAGTTTAAAATTACAAAAACCACCCCATCAACCCACTTGTCAGATTCCGGCAACCACCGTCGGTGATACCGGAATCTGTACAACGCCAAACTCCGACCAGAAATGGCCGAGTTCACCGCTGTGGCCTTTTCGACCAGATCCACAACGGATCTGGCCGGAAAAGGCCAGATCTGGCCGTCAGCGACCCAAAGAAATGGCCGTCGTTGACGGTCAACGACGGCCAAATCTTGGCCGTCGTCGATCGAAAACGACGGCCACATCTTTGCCGTCGCTGACGGCCAAAGATGGCCGTCGTTTGGCCTTTTCCGGCCGTCGACGGCCAAAACAAACCAATATCTGGCCTTTTCCGGCCAGATCTACCATGGATCAGCCGGAAAAGGCCATAACGATGTGTTACGGCACGATCCGACAAGTCTGTGCCGTAACGAAATTTTCCGGTCAGATTCCGGCGTGGTGGCCGGAATCTGACACTGCAGTGGTGGGGTGTTTTTGTCATTTTACTGTTAGGGTCTTTAGTTAAATTAGTAAACCAAGGCTTTTTTATAAATTTTTAAAATTTACCTCGTAATACTCCCATATCCAATAACCCAATACTACCCTTAAAATCCTATCCAAAATACTAAACCAAACGCACCCGTAGTTGTTTAAAGATATTCAATCAATCTACCCCGTTTGCATCAATTAATATCAACCCGAACCCATCCATCCTTATCCATTGGATAATACAATAAAGTACATTTCCTTTGTCTGAATCAGTGATGAACGTGGTTTTCCATCAAAATGAAGAATATTGAATTAAAGTATAAATCATAGTTACAAAGCATGTGAAAGTCTAAACTTAAAGTTAGTTTTGTTGTTAATTGTTGATGTAGTCTTGTTTTAGACATAGATTGGTGGTTTTAGAGGTATAAATTGTGCGCGGTTTATTAAAAGACGCTTCTGAATAATGAGGATGTCATTGTACTTTATAAACGATCAAAACCCTTACTTTTTAATTGATGTGAACTTTGACACTAATATTAATTAAATTAAAAGCAGTGAGTGGGAAATGGGAAAGAATGCTACATTGTAAAAAAAAAAGAAGCACAAAATAAACAATACCAAGCAACAAGAATGGCGGCCTACGCATTAGTATAACGTAAGTTACACAAGAAAATGGCCAAATTCTTCCCAACCAAGAAAAAGTAAAGAGGATAATTGAGAAAAAAAAAACCGTGGCAGTTTCCTAGGACTTCACGGACTCGGTTTTTGGTAGGCCGGACAGCACCATATCTATTTTCGAAATTCAAATACTATTTAATAAAATATATTAAAAAAGGATAAATATTATATAATATAAAAAAAAATGCCACGAGTTAATTAATTAAGCAAAAGTTTTTTTTTTTTTTGGTTGTGAATTCAGATAAAATTTTCTTATTAATGAAAAAAAAAACGTATATTGCAACGTATGAGTGTGTATATATACGGTAAATGTAGGATAAGTGAGAGAAAAGTAAAATTAAAGAGACGGGATAAATAGGAAGGAAACGGGTAGTTTTAGTATAAACCGTGGACCCTGTCCGCCCTTACTTCATGCTTTACCAAACTCACAATCCTCATTTCTTCCCATTTCACACCTTTGCTTCCATTTCTCTCCCTGCAGCCAACACAAACTCTCTGTTATCTTCTTCTTCTGTTGAGGTATTTTACTTAATTTCTTGTATCGAGAACGTAAAGCCTTGTTTTTATTAACTTTTTTTTTTGGCGTTTTAAACTACGGGTTTTGTGTGTCTCAGGAAATGGAATGCGTTGAAGCTGCTTTGGAGACTAGTTTAAGGAAGGAAATTGCCCGAAAATCCAACCCACAAGCCGTTTCGGATGATTTCTTGGCAATCAATACCCAAAATGTTGAAGATGACTTTGTTAACGGCTTCTTTGACTTCTCAAAAGACGACGGTTTTAATGGAGAAGCAGAGCCCCAAGAGAAAAACTCCAACAACTATGTGGCACCAAAGCAAGATGAACAAGTCGGTGAGAACGACTTGGAACCAATTATCAATTTTGAAGATTTTGGCCCCGTACCAGGCGAACTCGTCCTCCCGGTCCTCTATTTTTTTGGGTTTTGGTTAAAAAACTGTATTTTAAGGCTTTTCTTGGGCTGTATTGTTTACAAAAGGTGACATTTTTACAGGCTCATGATGTCGAAAACCTTGAATGGTTGTCTCATTTTGTGGAGGATTCTTTCAAGGAGCACTCTACACCGTTTTCCGGCGAAACTTCATCGGTGAAAGGGAATGAAAAAGTTGGTGAAACAAAACCACCGGTTTTGACAAATACTCATGTCAATGCTCCGATTCCAGCCAAGGCAAGAAGAAGCAAACGTGTAAGGGCTGGAGTACGAGGTTGGTCAGTTGGGTCACCTGCTTCATCGGACAGTTCTTCAATTTCGTCTTCTGGTTCTTCAGGCCTTTCAAGCCGTTGGCTTTTTTACTCTAACGCTAGTTCATTTTCCAGGCCTCGAGCAATTGATAAACCCAAAAAGCACAAGAAAAAATCTGTAACTAGGATGGTTTCCAATGGACCTGGCATCGCTGGGACTGAGCTCTTCTTCGTACGGAGGTGCTGCCATTGCGGTGTCCTGAAGACACCACAGTGGAGGACCGGGCCGCTTGGAGCCAAGAGTCTCTGCAACGCCTGTGGGGTCCGTTACAAGTCGGGCCGGCTCTTACCCGAATACAGGCCAGCTTGTAGCCCGACCTTTTCAAGTGACAAGCACTCGAACCATCATCGTAAAGTACTGGAGATGCGACGCAAGAAGGGACTGCCGGGTCAACTTGAACCCGGTTTTTCTCATGTTTCTGTGCGTACCTATTGAAGGATTAAGCGGGTGCACCAACCCAAAAAAAAAAAAAAAAAAAAAAAGGCCTTAAGTATTTAGAATAATTAAAATTTTGTACCCGGTTTAGTTAATGTAGTTCCTAGTAGGTCCATTTGGAATTGGTGTATATTTTATCGTGGTGGGTGTGGTAGTTTCCCTGGGATGTTTCTTATTAGGAAGACTTTAAATATGTACTAATTTGTCTTTTTAATCTTGTTTAAATTTAAACGTTTACATATGCTCTTGTGGACGACTGCGTCTGTTGATAGTGTTTTGAGACCGTTCAACCTTTTTCTGGGTGGCCGTTGAAAAGCAAAAACATTATGAAAGGGAGAATATACGAATACGAGTATCGTGCTGGGATGTCCTCACCCTAAAATCATCAGAGTTAATCAGACGGTAGAGCATCTAGGTTTTAATTTCTTGGTTGATGAACTGATGTTGGGGAACAGTTTGGACTCATGTCTCAGTAGAATCTGATTCTGTTTTAACGTCAATGGATTTGTACCAAGGAAACTTAATCATATTAAGTTAAGTCATTACATGTTTGAAATTTAGATTACCGCCATCCATCTCATTTGGTGGGCGATTTTAATGCGTAAAGGGCGGCCTAGCTAGCTATTATTTATCAATCAATCAATCACTCACTCACCATAACAAACAGTGACCCAATTAACGGCGTTGTCATCATTATCATCTGGTTTGGTCATGCACTAACTTATAGCAATAGTCCGTTCAACCTATTCCATGCAATTTGATGAACGTAATGACCTGAGGTTTACACGTGGTTACTTTTGATTTGAAGAGGCATTCATAACATTACACTTTATCTTCAATTTCACAATCTTTAATTACCTTTAAATATTTGTATAGGCGATTTAGGGCTTTTAAGTATATTATTTAAGAGATTTTAAATTTTAAATTTTATAATTATTAATAAAAAATATTTATTAAAGATTTATTTGATCATTAATTTTAAGGTTCTAAAAAACTAATTGACATATGTACAAATATACTGGAAAAAAAAAAAAAAAAGTACAAACTTAAACAACTCCCCTGTTTATTATCCAATTTTTTGCGTGTATAATATAATGCACGTTTCTGGACTACTTATTACAAGAGAGAATCTTTACATGAACTCGGTTTTGTCCCTTTATGTATTGCATATTTCGTCTTCATCGTATAAATAACTCAAAAAACAATTCCAACCCGTATCGATTAACCACTCTTAACATAATATATGCCCCAAGAGTAAGACAAACTTTTAGGTCAAACTGCTTTGAGGTTCTTAATTAACTGATATTTGAAAGTTGAATTTATCGTGATTTACTATGTGAGGTATCTGCCATATGTCAAAGTCTTGTATTTAGAGTTATTTACAAGCTCCATGTGTCAAGTACAAGTCACTTCTCATTGCTTTACATCTTAGCCCCTGTGTAGTATTAGATTAAGAAAACAACAAACCGAAGTTTGATAAGGTATTAGGGTAATAGTTGAAGCAATCTAGAGTAATCGGAATCAAACAAGTAAATAATCACATACAAATAATGTAAACAATAAAAAAAAAGCATAAGCGTTATTTATCCTGATTTTTTAGAATTCGAGTTACGTCTAGTAAAATCAATATTATTGAAATATCTTTTCACCTCTTTCGTTATAATGAATGTATTCATTAATGATTTAATATATCACTCATATAAGAGAATAATATGTTTATATACTATGTTTAAATGAGAAAAACCTAATATTACTAAAATCTCATTTCTTAAGTAATAAAAATCATATTGGGAGTTTTATTATTTAGAAAAATCTTTTCATAAGATAGACCCAAATCATCTACGAGCTTGGGGGTGTTAGCCTTTATCCCTTGCTCACTCACTGGGAGCAGGACCTTGTATGCGTCTGCTTCACCTTCTATTGTTGAAGTGGTCCACAGCCCCAACAATAGTTGTGTTGGAAANAAGGCTTAAGTTTGATTCACTTACCTTTTTCTTGCAAGAATCCTTTTCTTTGCTTCCTTTGCTCACTTTCTCCACTGATTCATGCTAAAACAAATAAATTCATGAGAACTCATACTTATAAAGCACAAATCACAAAGAGGTTTTAGACTTTTAGTTATAGGATTTTTTTTTTTTTTTTTATTTCAACTTCGGGTCAGTTATTTGATTTTTGTAACAAATAGTAAACAAAATCTTCTTAATATATAAATTGAAGATTTTCTCTTATCTCTATTATAACCTACCATTATCATATGTCACATTCTAACTATCAGCTATTTGAAGGAACTCTGGAGATCCCATAGATAAGAATTCCAAAAAATATTGTGGTAACTAGAATGATACTTAAGAGGCTGAAGAACGTCCTTCTTAAGCAAAATAGAGATATGATGCGAAACCAAAATAACAAACACACAAACAGTAAAAGAAAGAAGAAATATGTGCGATTTTATTCCAGTTCACCTAATTAACAGGCTACATCCTGCAGAGTCAATATTATTATAATACTGTCTCATTTCTCTCGTTTACAATGAATGAATTTGTCCTATAATTTTTATCACTCATTACAAAAGAAAAGTGTGTTTATATACTAGGTTTAAAAGACTAATTAAAACCTAATATTACAACCCCAACACTTCTCCTGGCTTCGACATGCTGAAACAAAAATTTTATGCAAGAGCTGGATTTCTCAAGAGAATCACGAATATTTCAAGAGACCAAATTTGATGATAACGATGGTATTGAAAATGATCGGTGTTGAAAGGAACAAATTAGTTATAACTTAAAGATTTTATAGGTTAACAATTGAGGTCAAAATTAATATGAAGCCGGCCCTTCACTTGTGAAAATGATATAATTTCAGTCCACTAGGAAAATCCAAAGGCAAAGCTGAAGAGCTTCATTCTCTCCATTATGTATATTGTAGTGAGTGGAGCTTGTGCCCACATATCATCCAACCCTTTTGACTTTGATGTTCCAATGATGCGCCTTCGCATCTATGCCCTCAAAACCATTTTATGCTTCTATCTTTGTGGGCCAAGTTGTTTGTTGAGTTCTAGTTGAGACGATAATAAATTTATTATATATCTTCAAGTTTGGTGATATTTTAGTTAGTAATACACTCTTTGGGGGTCAATTTGGTTATCGATTGGTGAACTCTGGGAGATGAAGTCCTAATTACTAAATGCACTCAAATTGAATAGAGGGACTGCAGTTATCATTTAGGAACATTCAATCAAATATCCCGTTGGCTTATAGATAGTAAAAGCAGGATTTATTTTGTGTTGGGTTTGAATGTGAAGGAAGCTCAGAGCTGGTCCATATTTCAACACCTAAAAGGATGGCTTTAGGTTAAGGTTTATTATTACGATGGGTGTATTATCTTAATGTTACATGTTAAAATTATATTATTATTATTATTATTAAGGTAAGAGTATTTATCATTATCCAAAATAAAAACTTTCTGGGGGTCCAGGCCTTGTCTTAGCTCTTACACAACAGTCTACATGAGAGTTGAAGACAATTTTCTGGAACCCACAACCCAAAGACATTTTTTTGGACGAAGATGCGCCAGTAACGAGCCTGTTTAACTCAATTACAGCTCTACTTATAGTTATTGGCAAGAGTAGGGTCAATTTCATTTGACAAAAAGCAACATATTATTAACAAGATTCAAGGTCACAGACTCACACACAAAAAATCCACTCACCGGATTGTGAAAGCTACATATTTTATTGGACGTACAAGAAAATAAAACAATACGCAAATGAAATGATGTGATGGCAAATAGTAAAAGCAAAGGCAAGATGAGTCTTCTAAGGTTCTCCATTAATCTAATACATACATGCATCGTCCCTTGCATGGCAACCCAATTGGGGGTATTAGTTGTGAGGAGGACCAACTCTCCCTTTCACTGATTTTTTGTGTCCACCACCACATCCCCAAATCCAACAATCACCACCCTTCCCATTGCTTCCACCACTACCTCCTCCCCATCCCCAACCTCCTCCATTACCCCCTCCTCCTCCTCCTCCTCCTCCTCCTCCTCTACCTCCACCACCACCTCCTCCCCCTCCACCACTACCACCCCCTCCTCCTCCACCCCCTCCACTACTTCCTCCACCCCATCCATGACCACTACCATTTCCTCCAGCACCTCCACCTCCACCCCCACCCCCACCCCCACCTCCACCTCCTCCTCCACCACTGCCACTTCCTTTACCACCCCCTCTTCCTCCACCATGTCCTCTTCCCTTCTTTCTTTTGTGCCCTTTACTTTTTCCATTTCCACCACCACCTCCTCGTCCTCCTCCATTACCACTACCACCTCCTCCACCTCCACCTCCACCACTACCATCACCACCTCCTCCTCCCCCTCCACTTGTACCACCTTTGTGCATATTACTACCGCTGTCTGTTAAAACTCCTTTAGCTGAGTTAGTGTTTCTTTGTCTTATATCTTCAACGACATTACTGTTGCTTTCACGTGAAAGCTTTGAATTGAAAGTAGTATTGAGCTGAGCAGAATTATCACTTTCCTCGATCCCATGAACCAAACATGGGATCAACACCAATATTGCAAGTATCACAAGAACTCCAAATCCTCTTGAAATCTCCATTGCTCGCATGAGCTTGAGAATGCCATCAGAGTTTATTACGCTTTTATACTCTTCGCATTGTACATGTAATGATCAAGATGAACATGGATAGCTACAAACAGTCCCCACAATGCAAATATTTAATCGGAAGTAACCAAAAATAGCTAACACTAGCTCTTTGAAAAGGCTGCAAAAGAGATGATAAGGGATAGTTTAATATGGCTTGCGACGCAATTTGTCCCCACCTCCATTTTCAGCGACTAATGCACGCTTGATGGCCACACTACCATATGGTCCATATCCCTATGCACTCACCATCACCACCTTTATCTTTCACCTAAACGCCGTTTAGATTAACATAATATAAACACCTTTGTTTTTCTCTTTCATGTGCTTCACCATTTACTAATAAAAAAAGAAAAAAAAAAGCACATTGAAGTACGTTTGATTTAGGTGGCAATTATGAATTTATTTCAAATTAATTATAGTAATGTACGGAAAGAACAAGAAGTAGATGTAATACGCATACCCAACAGTGGGTATATATTAAAATACTAAAGTATTTTATAAAATTGTGAAGCTTTTAGACTAAGGCACACGGAATATTGAGATATTATTGCAACATAAATAAGGGACATCATTAGAAGATATCAATAAATAAATTATTAGTATCATGTAATAAAAAACACAAAAATTCAGTCAAATTCTTTTGTAATAATGGAGGATTATTTTTTTTAGCGTCTTCTTTACCCTTCTTTTGTTCTTAATATTTTCCTGCCTTGGGTTTGTGTTATGAAACTTACCATAATCTTGAGAAAAAATGTCTTTTATAAGAAAATCTAGGAAACCCTCCTTAGTTTAATCATTCAATTTGCCGATTTCTCTTTGCTTAACTCAAATATACATTAGGTTGTTAGTCTTGTTCCTTGTGGATTTGACTATGTTTTGTATATGTAAGGAGAAGACTTTACTATAATTAAAGGTTTATTATATGGTTAAAACTAATTATCTAAGAACATGAATAATTTTTCAGTAGAAATAACAAGCAAGTGGTGCAAATTAACTATTGGGACCTCACTAACATAAGCATAGGAATTGGATACCATGCTTGTACGCCTGCACTCAACTAAAATATTCTAAATATACGTTTGCACGCATAAAAATTGAAATGGGTTACTTAGTTACAAACCTAATTGCACAATTACTATTTATCCACATCATTTTCTCATAAATAAATAGATATATATATATAGTTAGACAGTAAGCTAGTGACAAGGTCACACAGTTGTGTTGATCTCATCATTATTGGATATGGTTTATACTTTTTTTAGATTTGACGGATTATCGGTTTACACCAACTCATTCGGTAAGCTCAATTAGTAATTGGGTTTAGAATTAATTTGTTAATATTTGAGCCTGGGTTGGGTTAGATCGGGTAAACTCAAATAGGGTTAAGTTTTCTATTATACGCATTTTGTAATAGTTAGAAACTGAAAGCGAAGAAAATAGAGAGCAAGAGTGAACTGTCATAAATTTACATTTTACTTTACCGCAATTTTTGAATACTCAATAAAAGTACTCTATTTAAATGTTGGACGCAATTCCTTTATCAAAACAAACTAAGGTAAATTATGTGTCTTCTTTACTTTTCTGCTTTTATTATTATGTGTGTTTTTGCTGTAATTTCAACAGCCACGGGATTAAAATTTAATTGGGACACCGTGAACGTAGAGTGGTGGCTGGTGGGTCAAATATAATTGCAATGCCAAAGCCAAAGGGAAGCGTATACATTGATGGATCCACATGTGAAAATGTGGGTGGGGAAAGTAGTGTGCCTTTTGCTTCACGAATCGGAATTGAGATTGGAAGGCAATTGCCGGCCATGTGCTCGACAAATACCACATTATAAAGTGGAGAAATTCAAGTAAATTCAGATGATGTACTGGCACCATTCAGTGGATTTGCAACTTGTTAAATGAATTCCAGATAGGGTATTATGTATAGAGCAACTTGTATATATTTACAGGGCTCCTCGATTATAGCTATACCATCATTTCTCCACTTCTTCAAGCTAATTTTTGCTTTATAACAATATCCCTTTTCACCAACTTTACAACTTTCCAAGTTAAAACCTTGGGATAAAAGTTTCAGATTTATTACTTTGCTTGCGTCTCTGACTCTAAAGGAAGTCATGTAAATCAGCTATAGTCTAAAGAAAAAAAGACAATAGCATTCATAAATAGGAACACAGTTTGGCTTTGTCATATTGTCTGTCCTTAATTATCAACAGAATATCCAGATTTAGTGAGTAGAATACAGAAGCTCAAAAAACCTACCTATCTACTGATCAAACAAAATGCATTATGCACCACTATCGGCATTAGAGTTCATTATTTGTATTAAAATTCNAAAACAAACTAAGGTAAATTATGTGTCTTCTTTACTTTTCTGCTTTTATTATTATGTGTGTTTTTGCTGTAGTTTCAACAGCCACGGGATTAAAATTTAATTGGGACACCGTGAACGTAGAGTGGTGGCTGGTGGGTCAAATATAATTGCAATGCCAAAGCCAAAGGGAAGCGTATACATTGATGGATCCACATGTGAAAATGTGGGTGGGGAAAGTAGTGTGCCTTTTGCTTCACGAATCGGAATTGAGATTGGAAGGCAATTGCCGGCCATGTGCTCGACAAATACCACATTATAAAGTGGAGAAATTCAAGTAAATTCAGATGATGTACTGGCACCATTCAGTGGATTTGCAACTTGTTAAATGAATTCCAGATAGGGTATTATGTATAGAGCAACTTGTATATATTTACAGGGCTCCTCGATTATAGCTATACCATCATTTCTCCACTTCTTCAAGCTAATTTTTGCTTTATAACAATATCCCTTTTCACCAACTTTACAACTTTCCAAGTTAAAACCTTGGGATAAAAGTTTCAGATTTATTACTTTGCTTGCGTCTCTGACTCTAAAGGAAGTCATGTAAATCAGCTATAGTCTATAGAAAAAAAGACAATAGCATTCATAAATAGGAACACAGTTTGGCTTTGTCATATTGTCTGTCCTTAATTATCAACAGAATATCCAGATTTAGTGAGTAGAATACAGAAGCTCAAAAAACTACCTATCTGCTGATCAAACAAAATGCATTCTGCACCACTATCGGCATTAGAGTTCATTATTTGTATTAAAACTCAAGCCCAATAGTGAGTCCTACCCAAAAGGCCGACCTGTGGGTGTGAGATCCTGTTGTGGGATCCTTATAACATTATACACCACCACCCCCCTCCCCCCTCTTTCTCTCTCTCTCCTACTTCTTCAAGAGTCGAAGTAGCCCTTTCCCCATTTGGACTACTTCACTCACCTATTAAGGAGAGTACATTGCACCTTAACCTAGTCCCTCCCCTCCCTTTACTTCTTCAAGAGTCGAAGTAGCCCCTTCCCCATTTGGACTACTTCACTCACCTATTAAGGAGAGTAAATTGCACCTTAACCTAGTCGATAAGTACCATTTTCACAACCCAACTCTCAACGAGAGCAACAATGTTAGAACTCAAGCCCAAAGGAGAGCATAACCTAAAAGACTGGCCTGATAGGTGGGACAGCCCCTAGACTTAAGTGATATGATATGGAATGCTATATTTGCTCCCAATCAAAGACATCATACAGATGCCTAAATATAAATAGGGCTAATTACTGATTTTCTGTAATTGATTGATTTCCATTCTTGTTGTGTAGTAATTACATTTGATTACATTTATTTTATTTACTCACAGATTATTGTATAAATACATGGTTGTAAAGCTATAATGAAATATACAAAAAGTATTATTCTTCTCTTCTCTATTCCTTTTTGCCATTCTCTAGTAACTCGATTGCATCTCTTGTCCCTTCCAATTTGGTTTCTAACATGGTATCAGAGCAAGCAACCTAGTCCAACTTCCGCCAAACAATCCTCCCTTGGCAAGTTTTCCAGAACTTGCAAAACAAAGGCACTTGGATTAGTTTATCTCTCTTCTCAAAACCACTCAATTTACAGATTGTAATTGAATGGATTTAACCAAGCCACCCACACCAGAACACAGTATCAACAACCCAATTACCACAACCACAAATGAGCCCATAACACAACATTTAGACCAGGCCCATATCCAAACCAGTCCACCTCGCCAAGATCCAATCACTGGATTAGACCCAAATTCAAGCCCAGCTCACCAAACAAACCAAACCGATTCAAACCCATTCAGGTTCATGGGTCAGGATGTTAACCCATCGAGTCAAAATCCCTACCCGATATTCCAAATTGTCCCAACCACCACCGACCGACCAGAACCAGGTGATTCCCTTTACTCGCCAGTGTCCGATGGATCTGAAATTGTCCTTGTCAAGCAACCACTCACGGGATCCACCCATTATGCGACATGGGCTAAAGATTTTCGGCGAGCGTTTATCACAAAGGACAAGGAAGGCTTCATCGATGGCACCCTTCCCAAACTAGTGGATAATACCCTCCTCAAATACTGGAATTGGTGCACCACACTTGCTCGTGCATGGATCAGCAACTCCCTAACCTAGGAGATTGCCGTCGGCCTTCCACAGACCGAGAATGCTCAAGAGATGTGGAACAATATCAAGGAGATGTACGGCCAACTTCACCTTGCAAAGCTTTTCACTTTGCGACAAAGTTTGGCCGACATCAAGCAAAACAATCTCCCTATCACAACTTATTTCAATTGACTTTCGGCGATTTGATATGAATTGGATGTCGTCGTAGAAATGATTGAGGCACCAACATCGATTTTTCAACAGATCCAAAAGGTAAAGGATCAATACCATTTAATACATTTCCTAATGGGTTTAAACAAAAGTTTTTTGCCATTTAGAACATAGATGTTAGCAACATCACTGTCGCCATCTCTTCAATGAACTTATCAATTGGCCGTTCAAGATGAGAGTCAAAGGATGACCACCCAAGACTCTTACCATGGTGTTGTGCCCACGGCCTTCACCAT